GAGAGAGGAGTGGACAGAGTCAGGGAGCAGTGGACAGGGGACAAGGGGCCCGAGAGAGGACAGAGGCTGGCAGAGGAAGGTGGCGGAGGCAGCGCGAGGCCGAGAGGGAGGCAGGAGGCAGGGGTCTGGCCCTAGCAGGCTGGGGGGGGTTAGGCGGTGACAGTATGAACCCTGACCTCTCCTCTTCAGTCGGGCCCCCCCCACACCCCGAGTCAGCGAGAGACTGAGTCCTCCCTGGCCCCCCCCCCCGTGTGCGATGGAGAGCCCCCCCTCGCTGGGGCCCAGCCTGCTGCGCGACTCGCTCTCCGTGGAGGAAGGGGGCGAGGACGGCCCCCCCGCGTCCAGCCTGCTGGGCTGTTCCATGTTCTCCGGGCCGAACCACGCCAACCACGCGGGGGGAGCCCTGCTCATGGAGCGGCTGAACGGCACGCCCTCCCCCTCCCCCCCGGCGCTGCCGCCCTTCTCCGGCTCCGGCCGGCTCTCCGCCCAGCTGCCCCTCGGCCCCCAGCCGGCCGGCAACGCCCTGCGGCCCGCCGGCGCCTCGCGGCTGGGCAGCCAGCACAGCCTGAGCGAGCACTTCTGCCCCGCGCACTCCCCGTCCTTGGACCGGGACCGGGACCGGGACCGGGGGGGCTGCAAGCACCGGCAGGCCAGCCCGCTGGTGCACCGCCGGGACAGCAACCCCTTCACCGAGATCGCCATGAGCTCCTGCAAGTACGCCGGCGGCGTGATGAAGCCGCTGAGCCGGCTGAGCGCCTCCCGCCGGAACCTCATCGACTCCGACTCCGAGGCGCCGCCGCTGCAGGTTCCCCACGCGGCCGGGGGCGGGGCCGGCGCGCCGCAGTCCCTGGCCCCGCCCCCCGAGATCATCATCTCGTCCAAGGAGGAGCTGCGGCTGGGGCCCGGGGAGGGACCCCCGGCGTCCCCCTACCACCAGAACCACCAGGGCCCCCCGGCCGGCGCCGGCACCGGCGCCTCGCGCCCCAAGGCCAGCAAGCGCAAGAACCAGAACATCGGCTACCGGCTCGGCCACCGGAGGGCGCTCTTCGAGAAGAGGAAGAGGCTCAGCGACTACGCGCTCATCTTCGGCATGTTCGGCATCGTCATCATGGTGATCGAGACCGAGCTGTCCTGGGGCGTCTACAGCAAGGTGAGCCGGGGCGCCTGGCGCCGAGACGAGACCGAGATGGGGCTGGAGCTCTCGGTTTCTCTCGCTGTGTTTATCGCACCGCTCGTCTCTGCTCCCTCCCTCCCGGGGCTCTTGGGAGTAATCAGAAGCAATTACCGCAGAGCACTGTACTTGTATGGCAAGAGGGGAGACGCATAATCACAACCGTGGTGCTGAGAGGGAGGCAGGGGTCTATCGTCAGGCTGTTTCCTAGGCTGGCTGTGAATGTGAGCTTGTGTCAGCGTGCATCTGTGCTATCTGTGAGTGTGTGTCGGTGTGTATCTGTGAGTGTGAGCTTGTGTCATTGTGTATCTGTGATTGTGAGCTTGTGTTACTGTGCATCTGTGAGTGTGAGCTTATGAATATCTGTACAGTTGTTATATGGCTGTTGTTACTGTAGTTATAACACTGTTATTACTGTACTACTGTACTTTATTACTGTATACTGCATCAGTGTTACCGTTGTTACTGGATACTGTATACCAACCGTGATATAACTTGAATAACAACTGGACCATATACAGTATGCACATTAATAGTAATAAAATAACTAAAGTAACAACACTGTAATATACCCACAGGAACAACACAGCCATATAACTGCAATTACAGTGATATAATTACAGTAATTACAGTAATACATATGGTAACAAACTGTGAAATAGCTATAGTAGCAACAGTGATAAATCTATAGTACTAATATTGTCATATAGCCACAGTAATAGCAATGATATAACCATAGTAATAACATTGTCATATAGCTACAGTAACAACAGTGATATATCTATAGTAATAACGTTGTCATATAACCCCAGTAATAGCAATGATATAACCATAAAAATAACATTTTCATATAGCAACAGTGACAACAATGATGCAACTACAGTAATAACATTGTCATATAGCCGCAGTAATTGCAATGATATAACCATAGTAATAACATTGTCATATAGCCACATTAACAACCATATAGCCATATCCAACACTGTGAAATAACTACAGCTACAACACTGTGATATAACTCTGAGCAGCCAGGTCTGTCTGTCCAATAACTATATCCAGGCCGTGGTTACAAAGCCTGTTCTTTCTGTATCAGCCAGGTCTGCCTGTGTCCAGTTTCTGTATGCAGGCTGTGGACACTGAGCCCATCCTCTCAGGATCAGCCAGGTCTGTCTGTGTCCAGTTTCTGTATGCAGGCTGTGGACACTGAGTCTGTCCTCTCTGGACAGCCAGGTCTGCCTGTGTCCAGTGTCTGTGGACAGACTGTGGTCAGTGATTATATCCTCTCTGGACAGCCAGGTCTGTCTGTGTCCAGTTGCTCTGTCCAGGCTGTGGTCAGTGAGTCTGTACTGGTCAGGGTCTGTTTCTCTTTTCTGTCTCTTACCCGGGTCAGATACTGTATTCAGCTTGTGTGTGTTGTCTGTGTAGGGTGCTGTAGGATTCCAGTTTGTGTTGTGTGTGTGTGTCCCAGTGGGTACGTTAGAGAGGTTGGGTTTGTGCTGTGACTTGTTTGATGTGTGACGTTTTATCAGTGCTGAGCTTTGTGTGGGTCTCTCTCTGTTCCCTCTCCCCCGTCTCTCAGTTTCTCTCTCTCTGTTTGTCTCCTTCTGTCTCCCTCTCTCAGTTCGATTCAGTGAGCTTTACTGGCCTGACTGATTAATTTCAGTGTTGCCAACGCAGTTGCAATTAACACAACATGTACAGATGTTTATAGTACAAACACATCATGGGGCATTTACATACAACAAACTGCACAATACAGAAAACTTTGTCTCTCTGTCTCCCTGCCTGTCCGTCTCTGTCTCCCTGCCTGTCCGTCTCTGTCTCCCTGCCTGTCCGTCTCTCTCTCCCTGTCCGTCTCTCTCTTGTCCGTCTCTCTCTCTCTCCCTGCCTGTCTCTCTCTTCCTCTCTTCTCTGCACTCCAGGCAGAGCTGTGCCTGCTGTTGTGGGTGGAGGGCCGGGGGTGGTGTATTAGAGGGAAAGGAAGCGAGGGAAAAACAAAGAGAGGGAAAGAAAGGGAGTGGAAAGAGACAGAGGGACAGAAAAGAAACTCTGTTAAAAGAAAGTGATAAAAATAGATGGAAGGCAAACAGCCGAGGGCAGTCTGTCACCAGCTCGTCAGCCCAGCACAATGGCTGAGACAGAGCAGCGCTGTGATCGGAAAGACATCCTGTCTGGACGAGAGGTTTCCCCACCATCCCCTGCAGTGCTCCAGGAATCCTGAAAGAGGAATCCGGCTGGATCCTCCCTCTGGAGTAGTCCTGTAGCTGGGTGTTTGCAGGAGCCTGCATGGAAATTGTCTTTCTGCTCCACCAGTACTGTTTCCACAAGAGCTCTGTAGCCCAGTAACT